GAGAACAAAACATAGAACGTGATGGTGTTAAAAACCAAAGAACAATATGTATACAAGACAGAGAACAAAACATAGAACGTGATGGTGTTAAAAACCAAAGAACAATATGTATACAAGACAGAGAACAAAACATAGAACGTGATGGTGTTAAAAACCAAAGAACAATAATATGTACACAACAGAAAACACAACAACGCATACGCTAACCAGACCCAACAACACAACAGCTACAAAGTAATAGTACGTTATGGTGCACAAAAACAAAAGTACAATAGGTATATAACATAAGAGAAAATGAAATGACAATAAAAGCTTACAGCTGTTTAGAATATTTTTAGATGCAGCAAGCGTTTTACAGCACTTGCAACACAATTAGGTCACATAAGTGCCGAAGATTAGAGGTGTTACAAGAGAGTAACAAACACAAAAAAAAGGAGGTTTTTCGTAGTTTTCGAAAGAGTTTTACGGCGCTCGCAACTGGAGGGGAGATAGAGACGATAGATATTTTATAGGAAACAAGGAGCAAACCACACCAGAGCACCCGCCAACCACCCACTACGGTTATCTACCTCAGGACACCTTTCTTTTTTCCATGAGTATATGTATGGGTGTGTGTGCGTGAGTGTGTGAGTATATGTATGGGTGTGTGTGCGTGAGTGTGTGAGTGTGTGTGTGTGTGCGTGTGGGTGTGTGTGTGCCTGCGCGCGCGTGTGATTGTGGATGCATGAGTGTGTGTGTGTGTGTGTGTGTTTATGTGCCTAGGTGCAAACAGCACTCCCACCTCGTCCCGGCCTGTAATGTAACTCTTTGTTGGCAAATAAGTTTGCTCAGCCACAGCAAACGTTTACACCACAAAACACAAAAGCCGAACACCAAAAGCATAAAAACGCAGTTCCACGAAAAAAAAAAAAAAAAATGAAACTGTACTGACAGTGACTGAGACAAATAACACTGGGGTGAACACCAGACACCTGCTGAAAAAAATTCTAAAACTGTGAAAGAGCCGTTTTCAAGGGCTTTTATTTTAGGAAAGTTTTCTCTTACCAAAAGAAAAAAAAAAAAGAGAGAGAGAGAGAAAAGAAATGGAGAGTGGCTCTATCACAGCTTAGAATTATCTTTCAGCAGGCCATGCTCTCCACAGAACGTGTGTCACTGCACTGTTATTTCTTTTATGGAATGGCCAAGAAACTAAAAACAGGGAAATAATACTGAGAAAGAGCGTCCCCATTATAGATCAGAATAAGCAATCTGAAAGTGCAAATTAAAAAAAAAAAAAAGTAACCAATAAACAGGTGGGTAGCAGTCATGCTAAAAGAACTTACTTGTCTCTTCAAAATGAAAGGGGGGCGTTAACATTGAAGAAATGTTTAGAATAGCTAACAATTGTGAGGAAAGAAGATGAGCACAGGTTTGTCCGAACTTCTCAGTCTGGTTTCAATGTGACATGTTGATGATAATACATAAATCTCATCTTTCATGAGTGAGGTAATATTGTATTTGACTCCAGACATCATTACAGTTACAAAGGTCACGTTCTACAATCGACCAGGCACTTAATACCCAATGCACACAACCAATCAGATTCATTGGACCGAGTCCAGGCAAGCCAGATTTTCCTTCATGGATGGGGCAAAAGCTATCATTTTTTGACTATAGAACCGAATTCCACTAAATTCAACACTGCCCTACTAAATTACACTCTGAGCTTTATATTCAAATGCATATGTTTTTCAAGGTTGCTAGTCGCATCAGACACACTGTGTCAAAATGGTAGCTCTTGACCGACCCATGAAGGAAAATCTGCCCTGATGAATTTAATTGGCAGCGTGTACCGGGTATTAGAGACAAACAGACAACAAATGTGATCCTGTTCAAATGGGAAAGACAATTGCAAAGGGAAAATGTACAAACATGCACACACACATTGACACAAAACCACATGCACACACACATTGACACAAAACCACATGCACACACACATTGACACAAAACCACATGCACACAATCCTAAAACCACACGATGATGCTAAATGAACTAAATGACCTCAAGGCACCTGAGATTATCAAAAACATTCACACAAAACATTACAAAGCTCACCAGAAGCAAACACTTACACAAATACCTCACCACACACCAGGAAAAACAATAACAACAACATTTACAATAACAACAACAACAGATTAGGAGGAGGCATTGGCCATTGTGAAAATTCATTTCTCGGGGTCGCAAATGCATGCGATAGAGAAACTGTTACTGATTTCAGTTCCTTCTTAAATCCTATAGCCACACACACAACAACAACAACAGTAAATTTATGAGCAAAGGTACGAGGGCTGTCCCACGGAAAACCGGAAAAGGTCCATAAAAGCAAAAATCTTTGTCCTATTATAATAAAACTATAACACATCATACCTCAACATGTGCTTTATTTCTCAATGTAATCACCATCTCGCTGGACACATTTTTCCCATCGCTGGATCTGGGAGAAGATACCCTCCCTGAAGAATTTTTCGTCAAGGGATTTCAACCAATCGTTCACGGCTTCCACGAGGTCTTCGTCGTCGGTGAATCGCTGTCTAGAAATATGGCGTTTCATTGGTTCAAAAAGGCGATAATTTGACAGGGCCAAGTCAGGACTGTGAGGGGGGTGTAGTAGAACTTCCTAGCTGAACCTTTGGAACCAGTCTTTCGTGACGTTTGCGGTGTGTGGCGTTGTACTGCCATGCTGCAAAATGACCCCGCTGGTCTTTTTCGGCCCCAACCCATCAAGCAGAGACCTTTCAATAGTGCAGCTCATCAAACTCTATCCTATAGACAGTCGACTTTGAAATGTTTAGCGACTCGCAAATTTCGCGAATTTTTAGGCGCCTGTCTGTTTGAATAAGTTCGTTAACGCGACTCTTGTTGTCCTCAGTCTTGGCAGAAAAACAAGATCCTGGGTAAACTTTGTCATCGATATCGGAGTGCCCGGCTTTGAACTTACTACATCACTCATATACCTGTGACTTTGCCATTACTTTCTCCCCATAAACTGACTTTATTTCAGTGTGTATTTCTAGAGGTTTGAGACCTTTTACGGTCAGAAACCGAATGACAGACTTCACTTCTACCCTTGACCAATTTTCCAAGGGGGTAGCCATCTTTTGAGAACTGCTGTGCTCGTTTGGTTTGTGCGATTCTCATGGTGCTCAATCGGGAAATTTCTAAATGATTTTTTCACAAGTGTGCGTTTACAGAATGTGAAAATATTGAATAGTTTTCAAATTACAGCCAAATTCCGGTTTTCCGTGGGACAGCCCTCGTACCTCACAGACAACACTTATCTACAAATGCGACTTTTGTAAAAATATGTCCCTCTTTTCCCCATCCACAACCGAATGCTTTTGTGAGGAAAATTTCTTCATTCTCCTCAAAGGGGCAGTCCCATTTTTTATCAAAACTATAAACATGCTTAGTGGTATTAAGAAAGACACCATGCCAAGATTCAGATCAAATGCACGTTAATGAAAAAAAAAAATGAAGAAACCCCTATAAAAAAATTAGAAAGACAACCTACTTAGTAAAGCATCTTCCATACCCTCCCAAAAAATAGTGGATGAAAAACGTGCAAATGTCAGCTTCCCATACAGTCACAAATCTGTCACATAAGCTATACATCAGATAGGGGCCGTATTCGAGGTGGTGTCAATTCAGAAAGCCAAACTAATACAAATAAAAGTGCCACAAAGCAGCTCATCATGATAGAAAGTCTTTCATTTTTATAAACCTACAAATCGAGCTCAGAAACATAGAAACTTCCAAGTGATGCAAATATTTTAACAACAACCAAAATTTCCCTACTTTTAAAAGATGGTTGAAAATGAAACTATCTACCATATTCCCAAAAGATGAAAAATTAATTTTTCTCTTTTCAACTTACTATTAAATTTATCAAATGCACGCAAAAGGGAAAGGGGAACCCCCCCCCCTCAAATAAAAAACGCCTTTCAAGTTTGAACACAACCTTCTTGGTAATCCGTCTTCCACCTTTTCCCCGAAAAGTTATTAAAAGAATGTCTGTTCAGTGCTCTTCTTCAATCATGTCTTCGTTAACTCTGTCCAAATCGAGGCACCAGATCTGGACAAGAGATTTGTGAACCTAGCGCCAAACAGACTGGAGAAACAACTGTTGTCACATCAACTACAATGCGTCCAAAAGTGATTGCTACAGACGAAAAACACAACATTTGGGAAAAAAAAAAGACGCATAAAATAGAAGTAATTCACAACTTTCAAACAACACTTCCGCACAAAACACACAAGATCCCCCACCTGCAATTTGCCGCTGCTGTTCTGACGTGAGGACGCCCTCCATTCGACGCAGGTCCATCATCATCAGACGCTGCGACTCCAGGAACTGGTCATTAGCCATCTGCCAGGTTTGTTTCAAGGCCTCATGCGACTGCTTCTCTTCCTCCAGAAGTCGGCAAACTGCACAACAGAAATAGTAAACTAATAAACAGGACTGTTGAATAATTGAGAGTTCGTCGTTTTCCCTTACACTGGCGAGCTCCGAGCCACAGCTCCGAATAAGGGAGAACGACGAATGGTCGATCGGTCAAGGATCACTGCTTGTTTGGCGCTGTCCCCTGGTCTCTGCCGTTGGGCAAATTCGGCATGGGCGACGAATGACAGTTGGTCACTGTTGTGTCAGTACAAACATACTAGGTTTTTTGCATACAACTACACCCGGAGTACCATCGACCAGGTTTATAAGAATGTATCACTGAGTGTGTTTTTCTGTCTGTCTTCACGTATTAGGCCTATATGCTGATGGTGTGAATTGACAAAAGCAGGCGGAAGAGAGGGGAAAACGGATGGGAACCGCTGACCTAAAAATATATTTTTAGGTCAGTGATGGGAACAGGGAGAAAGGGGTGGGGATGGCAGGGTCAAAAAAGTATTTAGGGAGCAATTTATTAGCACTGCATATTAGTGTCCGCCAGATGTTCACAGACTAACGTCATGTTAGTTTGCTGTTGAGTCATTTGACATCCCAAATCCCAACGGTGGTTACAGTGCCGCAATTTGTCTAACACGTGTCACTGGTCGACATCATAATAGAATTACCAAGCAATTAATGACACTGCGTTATGAGAGTAAATTTCTTTGTCCAATTTAAAAAGTGGACGTATTGTGGCGACACTCAGTCTTGCTTTACCATTTTTTATGACTTGATGGACATTACGATCGAGTATAATACATGTAATGTCTTGCAGATTCAAACTGTCTTTTTTTATCTCTGCTTTGTGGTACGTTTTTTATCCGATCAACTGAATCCTTTATTAAATACAAAGCGTCGCATTATCTCTCTGGAAAGCGTTTGTGATACAGTCTTGTCAGATTGTTACATTTCTTACGTGGAAGTTTGACTTTGCAATCATCTGATCGTATTATTGACATTGTAACATTGTTGATCCCTTTGGCCGTGAAGGGAAAATTTTGCAATTAGCGAAAATAAAAGTAAAACTCGCTTCTGAAGAGAATACAATAAAGATATATCATGGAGACCAAACTTTGGTTCCGAATGAGACAGTTTTAAATCAAGTTGTTGAAAATGTGTGTATGTGATTTGTACACCGACTGTGTAGTATTTCACCAAGCGAGGAAGGGAAACGAAGGATGTTTACTGAGTTACAGTTGGGATACAACATACGCTTAACTTAACACGTATAATAGCTAGTTTGTATACGTCTTATTTTTATTTGTAGTAACCAGTACATAGTCATTACTGTCAATAATGTGTCACAACTGACCATCGCCTACGCCCATAAACGTTCACGTGCGTAACAGAGAACGACGAACCGTACCATTCATCGTTTTTGCATACATCGAAAGGCTTACCTGAGAGTGCGCAGTGTAAGGGAAAACGACGAATGTCGAATAACATTGCTACTTTTTAACCTAAACATTCAAACTTTAGAAGATACTTTATGAACACATCAATCAGATATCTGGTGAATTACAGCTTAAAAGATTGAAAAATAGAAGAGTTATAAAGTGAAAACAGTTTTTTCCTCTCCTGAAAAATTTGCCTCGCTACCTGAGCAGGGCCATTCGTCGTTTTCCCTTACGACGGCAGACATGTCTTACTGCATGCCCAACAACAACAACAATAACAGTAACAGCAGCAACAACAACAATAACAACAATAACAAAACAACAATAACAGCAGGAACAACAACAACAACAATAACAGCAGCAACAACAACAACAACAATAACAGCAACAACAACAACAACAACAATAACAGCAGCAACAACAACAACAATAACAGCAATAACAGCAGCAACAACAACAACAACAATAACAGCAACAACAATAACAATAACAACAACAGCAGCAGCAACAACAACAACAACAACAAAAGTCATCAAGAAGTCCTCACCATCGTGCAGTTCACTAGCCACTTTGTCTGCCTCCTCCTGCAACACGCCTTTCTGGGTGCCCAACACGGCCACATACATCTCCAGGTCAGTGCGTGCAGCTTTCTCCGCCTTCAGGTAATGGAACAACTTGTCCACCTAAACACCAACAAAAAAAAACCCAAATGATAAGACATCTCTCTGCCTTCAGGTAAAGGAGCAATTTGTCCACCTGAACACAGAAAACAACAAAAGATAAGACACCTCTCTGCCTTCAGGTAAAGGAGCAATTTGTCCACCTGAACACAGAAAACAACAAAAGATAAGACATCTCTCTGCCTTCAGGTAAAGGAGCAATTTGTCCACCTGAACACAGAAAACAACAAAAGATAAGACACCTCTCTGCCTTCAGGTAAAGGAGCAATTTGTCCACCTGAACACAGAAAACAACAAAAGATAAGACATCTCTCTGCCTTCAGGTAAAGGAGCAATTTGTCCACCTGAACACAGAAAACAACAAAAGATAAGACATCTCTCTGCCTTCAGGTAAAGGAGCAATTTGTCCACCTGAACACAGAAAACAACAAAAGATAAGACACCTCTCTGCCTTCAGGTAAAGGAGCAATTTGTCCACCTGAACACAGAAAACAACAAAAGATAAGACATCTCTCTGCCTTCAGGTAAAGGAGCAATTTGTCCACCTGAACACAGAAAACAACAAAAGATAAGACACCTCTCTGCCTTCAGGTAAAGGAGCAATTTGTCCATCTGTACCAACATAAATAATTAATGTAAAAGCAGGATGATATTAAAAGATCAAAAAACTTCAGAAATCCTTATTTCTGGATTTTTCCTAAAAATCAGCTCCTCAAAAGTCTAAAAAACTTCCAGCAAGGATAAATTAATAGCTTTTTCTGTTTTCTTCTTTCCATCATAACCCTTCCAAAAATGACAAGCCTCACCTTTTCAGCTGGGTCTGTGATCGACTCAAGGTCCGGCAGAGATGGAGATTTTCTCCCGGTGGGATCGTCTGACCCTGAGCCCTGGGAGCAAACAGAGAAATTGTAAGTCATCTCTGTTGTAACATCTAGTTTCAGTTTTAATAAGAGTTTTAAAGCACTTCCACTACCAGGGATGCCAAATGATTTTTGAAAAAAAAACCCGGAAAATGAGTGGAGCATCACACCTCACCTAAAACGAACCTTGTAAAATCTTTAAATGAGCAAACAAAAACATTTCTCTTACCATTCACCTTTCTTTTGTAAGTGTACGAAAAAAACCCGGAAAAACCGGAGATTTGGCATCCCTGCACTACAACTAAATGACACAAGTGCTGAAGCTGTAAAGCCTCCGTCAACACACAGTTTAGACCAGTGATTATCATCCTGGGCGACATCGCCTACCAGTGGGCCATTTGGTCATTTTGATGGGTGGAGGGGATCACCCAGGTAGTGACAGATGTTATTTAATGCTCTGATTGGAAACAAGCAGGTGGGAAGTAAGAAAGTGTTAGCGTTAAAATTGGCCACAGTGGGTGCCGTCTATAAAAAAGGTGGACTAAAAACTTTTTAGACCATTAACTCACTGACTGCTAGGGGTTGAAATCCCGTAACACTGACTGCCTGCATTTAAAGAATGCTTCAGAACTGTCAGTGACAGATAAACATTCAAAGAAGACACATAATATTCACTATTCATCATTTTTATGTTGTGTTTTTCTCAGGTGAAAACAGATTTTTTATAAGTGTCATCATACTTTTGCTTGAATGATAATTTGAAACATCGACAAAAATAAACTTCGAATTACTTGAGCCACTGGTTGAGGAAGTACATGAAGCAACGTTTTGTTTTTTCTTTTGAACAGATCAATAAGGACCTAAGTATTGAAAGTCACTTTGGTGAAAATCTGGTACGCCCTGTTCAATATCATAACCCATAGAAACAATAAATGTTTCAATTTCAGGGATGCCAAATGATTTTGGAAAAAAAAAAGAAGGAAAATGAGCGAAGCATCACACCTCACCTAAAACGAACCTTGTAAAATCTTCAAAGAGCAAACAAAAACATTTCTCTTACCATTCAACTTTCCTTTGCAAGTGTACGAAAAAAACGGAAAAAAGTTGGAAAAAGCCAGAAAAACCAGAGACTTGGCATCAGAGACAGAGAGAGAGCACTACTTCTATTTTAAGTGCAGCTATACTTATTGTGTGATTGTCAGCAGTAGAGAAAAAAAACCATAAATCCTCATCTCATTCAACTACAAGAGAAGAGTTATAAAGGTGTTTGCTAAAGAAGAAAAAGCGCGAGTCAAATATTTAGACTACAAAAAAACCTACCTGTTTTGATTGGTCCGATTTTTCGACAAGTTTTAATTGTGCATCTTCCAGTTTGGCCTTCAGTATTTTGATTTCAGCCTCCAAAGGCATGACGACGGACTTCAAGATTTGGGCGTCCTCTTGTGCCTGCCAGGGAAAAACAAAAAAAACACTGACAATGCCTTATATGGAATACCTTCGGGGACTGACAGTTCCTTATATGGAACTACATAGCTACATGAAGTTCTGTGCCACCTTCATTACACAGTGCACCAAAGTGCTAAAGCTGCCTCACTAATCACAACACTGGTCACATCATCAGGCACATAATATTTTTAAAAATTTAAGTAGGCATTTTCGCGCCCCAATTGACACAATTTACATCCTTCAGGTGGCAGACTTCAACCCTGCACGTCAGGGCCAACCCAGGCTGTGTGGATACAACATCAAAACAGAAAGACTAAAATACTCGGAAGAAAAATTTCTCCCCACTCGGGAATCAAACTCTCCTGCATGCCACAGTGTGACACCTAATCACTATACCACAGGTGCCGGTCCAGACACACATGTCTCACCTTCCTCATACTCTCCTCCAGGTTTTCATGTTCCATGCTGGTGTTGGCCGAACCGACGGCCCCAACACGTTTTATAGACTTGGCCACAGCCGACAGAAAACCCTCCCTGGAACAAGAAAGATAGAGAAAACATTTCCTTTTAGTTTTTCATTTTGGTTAGACTTACGCCACATGCAACAAAACGGTCATACAGGTGCCAAAGCCTAGAGGTGTTACTAGAGAATAACATACAAAGCGAAGAAGGAGAAGAGATATGGACAATAGATATTTGAAAGAGAAGGAGCAAACCACACCACAGCACCCACCAACCAAACACCCGTGAAAGAAAAATAGGAAAACGCTATTTAAGCAAACCACAAAGCCACATAAGCATTTCTATCTGAAGTATAATGTGGAAAGTGACTCCAAACTGAATCCAAACTTTTATGACTTACTTTTTTTTTGCTTTGTACAACTTTATACGCCAAAATTGAAATAAAAATTGACAGAGAAATGGCGGAAATTAAACGACTTAAAACATCGAACAGAAAGAGATCACTATAAATACTAGTCTGATTAATAAAATGACAATTACATAAGGTACAAATGGTCAAGGAAGAACATGCAGTTACAGCACAGATCTCCCTTCATCGACCGCATCAGATTTATAAACTTTCACATCAGTGGAGGAGTGTGCAACAGCTGTCATGGGGTGGTCTGTGAATTCTCAATGTTCTCATATTTTTCATATTTGTGCAGTGATGATAGCTTCTTTCCAGTGTTTTTTCTTAAGATGGGTTCAACACAGGTGTCTGAGGCCTAAGTTTACTTTTATTTAAAGTTTTACGACACTTGCAACATAAACGAGCCACACGGGTGCCAAAAATTAAAGGTACCACTGCTGAAAATTTTTTTCAAAAATCAGGATATCATCTCCGCTTATGTGCTTCACTGCAGTTTCATTTTTCATAGAATGACCTTAAAAGTGAAACTTAAATACACAACTTTAAATAGACAGTGACTGGAGACTAGTTCTGTGCGGTACTCGATATTTTACAGCTCACCAGCACTCAATGTCAAGAGACTTCTCAAGCACTCTTTGCTTGACCCTACAGTTTAGATTCTCCCACTATCCCTTAACTATGAAGAAATACAAACGTATGCAACATAATGATGTAACATTAAAGGAGAGGTGCATGCGTATGTATGTGTATGTGAGTGTGTGTGTGTGGGGGGGGGGGGGGGGGGGAGTGCTGATGCAAGTAACAAGTACTCTTTATATATTTTTTCTTTTTAAAAGTAGGTTTTTTTACGACCCCTTCAAAAGAATTTAGACCATTTAGGAGGCTGGCTTCTGACCCGGCCTGTCAGGACAAACCTGTAATGTCCATTACCAATAGGCAAACCATTAGGTCTCTATTGCCATAATAACTAGGAAACCTGACAACTGGTAACCACTGGCAACTTGTAACCAAGCCGCATAAGCGGTTACGTAATTGTTCTCTTGGATATATAGAATCTCGAGAAGAAAATTATTATTAAAAAAGTGTACGTCCACCGGAACAGTCGTGTCTGGCTCCCCTGCTGCATTTTCAATGTCTGTCTAGATGTTGTGATTGTGATGTCCCGACTGTACAAAAACCCAGCTGAGAGGGATACAACAGCCCAGCAAAAAGACTGATAAAACTTTCCTTCCCCCTAGGGAATCAAACTCGGGTCTCCTGTGCACCACAGCTGCTGGTTATGAGCTCCCGAGCACACTCAACACAGCACTAGTCAAGACTGACCTTTCTTGACTGAGCTTGGTCCTGAGTTCCTGGATCTCCTCCTCATAGTTCTCGTTGAGCGACACGAGTTTGCTGCGCTCCGACTCGTAGCGGGCCGCCGTATTGTCTGAGGCTGTCTCTGCCGCCTCTAAACAACACAAACAATAATAGTAAGATAAGTCATGACGAGATAAGATGAGATCAGTAGCGATAAGAAAAGATAAGCACACAAAACTTTCAGATATTAAGATTTCATTCTATAAAAACAAAAAACAAAAAACCCACAGGAAATTATATATATACACCTTTCAGTTCAAAAGGTAAGTGATCTCACTCTCAAGTTTTTTCTTAAATCTAAAAATTCCCATAAATCTTTCAGAAGATGTCATCTCACTCTAAAAAGAAAAAAAAAATGACCAAAAAAAACCAAAAAAAACTCTCATACCTTTCAGAAGTAAATGGAGTAAAAACACCTAATCGTGAAAAAAAACCCAAAAAAAACAAACAAAAAATACAAGTAAACTTTTGTAAAATTGCAACAAGCTACCAAAAATAAAGCAAAAAAACCCCCCCAAACCTTTGAGAAGCTGTTGCAGGCTGGCCACCTCTTGCTGGTAATTGTGTACAATGCTGCCGATCTCCTCTTGCTTGTTCCCCTCAGAGACGGCCGCGGCCGTCCTCACCCCCTCCAGCTCCCACCGCACCTTCTCCATCTCGTTCTTCATACTCTCCAGCTCCTCCTCCATCTTCTTCACCTTGTCCTCGCTAGCCTGGCATCGCTCGCGTTCCCGTTTCAGCTCATCTATTGGGTCAAAAAAAGATAGACTTAATATTATACTGGACAAGACAGACTAAAGCATGAGATTTTTTTTTTTTATCTTACATTATCAACAACAGTACAAAAAGTATCTCTCTCTCTCTCTCCCCGTCCCTTTCACCCTTTCCTTTCCTTCCTCTCTCTCTTTCTTATTTTTTCCTCCCACTCCCTCTTCATACAAATGCTATTAACACTTTGCCATCACAAGGCTTGTATAGTAAAAACCCTTGCCATCAAAGGCAAAGGCATTCTGGGGAAAATACAAAGAAAATGGGAGGTAAACATCGCCAACTGGCGAGATGTGACGGCAAAGTGTTAAAAAATTCAATAGAAGCACACTATTACATTGTACATCACCCCCATAGTGTGACAATGTTTATTCGTAGCGTATATTTTAAAAAACTACCACAGACAGCAGAGAAAAAGCAGGGGGTGGGGGGAAATATCAACAATAAGAGAAATACAATCCACCACAGAGGAAATCTCAAATTGAAACCAAAAGGTATGTTCTTTTACTTCAAAACATTAATGGCAATAAGAATTTAAGTTGAGCGTTTTATTTTCTACAATTCACATGTTTCCATAGTACTTAAAAAATCTTTAAAAAAGCAGGCCCCACACTGTACGGCTGAATTGGAGTTGTACCTTCTACAACACACCCTCTATACACCCTGCACAACTTTTTTACCTCCATAGTAGGTGTACTTGAATCTCAGAAGTCAAAAGAGATGGACTCTTACTTGCTTCCTTTAATCACCCTCTAAGCACAAAAACCTCGGGGCTCTCATGGCCTAGAGGTTAAGGTGTTGGCCTCTCATTCAAAAGGTCCCGGGTTCGAATCTGGGTAGCGACCAACAAATTTTCTTCTCTAAATTTGTCTCCTTTCACCTCATTTTTTGCTCTCTAGCAATGTTCTGCCATCTGCTTTCGTCTCCTCCTTCTGTCCCCACCCCCTCACCTCCTTTGCCCCTTCCTCTGGGCTCCTGATTCTGTCTGCAGCTTTTCTACTGCTACTCCTTTGCTTCTTCTTACTGCTGTCTTTCAGCCACACCCCTGATCTTCTGGTAGGAAAGATCTACACCTGGCCTTCTCGGACAAGAGCGAAAAATCTCGGAGGGCCCGTGTGCAAGTTGCGCACGTTAAAGATCCCTTGGTGGTCTAAAATCGATCTGAGTAGGCTTCGGTCGCCACCCGGGTAAAATTCAAAATTTCCTACCAACTGAAAATATTAGATATGTCCCGCGCCTTCATACCACCTTATGCAGTTGCGAGCGTCGTAAAACACTTTACAAAAAAAAAAGAACTTCTACAAACTATCTTTTTCAATCAAGTTTCACTTCACAATAATATGCATGATATCATGTCGTATAAATATTTTAGTTTAGTTTAGTGTAGTAGAGGTTTTACTGTGCTCGCAACGACATACGGTCATATGAGCGCCAAGGGGTGGATGTCAACAGAGAAATTCTTACACGGAATCAGGCTTACTCTGCTCACCTATCTAGCTTCAACAACACAAAGTCGGCTTCGACTATCAAGGCACCCCGGAAATAGCGGGTTACAAGAGTATGACAAACATATATAAATGACGATAGTAAGGATTAGGAAAGAAAAAGCAGCAGTTCTCTGTTGCAGTTCAGGCACAGATATAATGAGCATGACATTGATGAATCAGCTCATTTACAATTCTACTGAGCATAGAACATGTTAATGTCCCCCCTTTGGGAATGGTCTAAAGACACTTCAGTCAGTAGCACTGCCCCTGGGATATATAAATATTTTTTAAATGGTGTGAGGATCAAGTAATTTATACATTCAAAGTACACAAACTCAAAAGATTGGCATGCTTCATTGCAAATAGCATCGGCAATGGTCAATTTTCATCCTTTGTTACATATTGATCATCAATTATTGAGCACAGAAGATCAAGATTATCAACAAAGACACTATCAGTTCATCAAACATAAAAGGTGCAGAAATTAAAATACAACAAAAATATATACTCTTTGAAATTCACAAAAGAAAAGGGAGGAACACTGAAAGTAAGAGTCTATCAAGCAATTACATCACATCAACAAATAAAAATATTAAAAGACCTGCACACATGCAGAAAGAAAAAAATTAAAAAATTAAAGGCTATTATTTTCACACAACATTTAAGCAAAATAAGAGACATTTTGACTACATGTTTGCACCAAACTTCCCCAGCTATGCTCGACCATTATTTTGTCTACATAAAATATAAAAGTTCAAACTGACATTAAAAAATGTAAATCTTAATATCAATAGTTTGGGAGAAAAAGCAAAAGCTTGTCTTTGTTTTCCAGCAAGGCTGTTGTCCAATACAAATTTCTGTTCTTAATTTCTGTTCATATGTCTTTATAATACAATAATTTTCAACGACTTTTTCAATATTCACAAGGGTATAATATAAAAAAACGCCAAACAAGTTTTACAGCATTACCAGCTCGTATCCTTTCTATCAGTTTTGAAAATTTTATAAAATGAGAAATGACTTGTTCTTCCAAGTTCGTCAAGTTTGTGTGAATTTTTTTATTTTCCAGTCATGTTTGCATACCTTCCTTCTGAATGAAAAGCTCTTTGAATTTTGCTCTCTTGATACCAAAATCTTTCTCCAACTCTGCCTTTTCCTTCTCAAGATAACTCACTCTCTCCTGGAGATTATCTGCAAATGTAAAAAGTGAAAAAAAAACGTAGGATTGAACTAAAAGCTGCATGAGTGACTGAGAGTACAAATACTTTTTAGAAGAAAGAAAGAAAAAAGTGTTAAGAGTACTGTTGTTGTTTTTTTTTAAAGTTTCAGTAAGAACTTTAACACAGCACCTCCTCTTTAACATAAAAGGTCATATATAAGGGCCGAAAAATTAAAGGTGTTACAAGAGAGTAACTTACAAAGAAAAGAAGGGGAAAGGAAAGCGTGATACGTGTTCGATAGGAATGAAGGAGTAAACAACACCGGTGCACCTGCCAACCAACTGTTAGACAAACCAAAGTCACAAGCAAAAATATGTCTCACCAAAACAAAGAGACAAATATGAAAATAGAATTTGACAAGGCGGCAGAACAGTGCCGACTAAATAGCCCAGTTTCCTTGAAAAGAAGAAAGAATCACAGGGTAGAAGTAATAATAATAATAATAGATAGCATTTGTATAGCGCATATCCCCGTTCAACAGCAGGCTCTATGCGCTTTACACTATATTAGTAGAAGTACTGTAGAAGAGACAACAATAACAACTTCAGCACAGAATACAAAATTTCTGCCCTATATACCTGATGGTACTGGGAGAGAGTAAGTAAAAGTAAAAGAATACAAAAGCTTCATTCGCAGACAATAATTCAGGACTGGATGCGTCCAGTCAATAAACATGGAAACAGATTAAACTCAAAAAATAAAAACTACTTATAAGTCCCCATACATTATAACAACATCCCATTTTCTCTCTGAAATTCCCCAGTCAAGCCTTGAAGAGAACTAACCTTCCCCACCCCACCCCACAACCCCTCCACTTCAGTGTCTCACACACATACCCACACACAAACATTTTGAAAACACCCTCAACAGGCCATTCGGACCAGTCGAAACAGACAAAAACTATTCCACAGACTAATTTTGCAAGACAGAGTAATCACACTGACAGCTAAAGACCACAACATCAAATTAGACGGTGACCCCGACGAAAAGCTCTCTTCTCAGGGTCGAGCCACATGACAGACAAATTACTTACTCCGCTTCTGTCTATGCCTGTCTTGCACACACACAACAACAACAACAACAAAAATATAGTAATCATAACAGCAGCAAAACTGTGAAGGAAAACTGTGACAGCTGAGGTCAACCTTTTATGGAGTGTCACAAAGCCACAACAAAGAGATAACCAGATAACCCTTGCATACTCAGCAAATCTAATCTATCATAAAGTTCTCCTCATGTTATCTCAAGTTTCACAGTTCAGAAAGAGTATTTCCTGCTTTGGCAAATAATTGTTACAAAAGTAAGATAGAAGAAAATTAATAGCTCGATTTCACTTTAGATCTGTATATTTCAAAACACGTTTTTGTAGCAGTGAAAAAATAATTTTCATTAATCAGTACACTGTTTCCTGGTCCAGTGCACTTTGTTAAACACGTTACATTTTCTTTTCGAGACATACATAATAATTATAATTTTACGAGAGTTCAATGATCATCTTTTAAAAAATTGTCTAGTAGAGATAAAACCTAAGCCATTTGCACATGAACAGATCAGTCTTGATTCAAGAGTACAAGAAGCAAACTTAAAAATATCAAAACAATGAGTCGAGAAAAAAAAAAAAAGAAAGAAAAGCAATACTGAATGAAGCTGAAAAGAGAGCCCTTCTCTGAGATGCCAACCACATAAGGTAAAAAGACAAGCCACTTGCACCATAACAAATCGATATTAACAATCTATGATTACTATTTTCTAAAAATAAAAATATAATACTTTAATGGTAGGCTAGCTTTAAACAGTGCTGCAAACTGTCTTCGACTTTTAGAATTCCTTTTATCCATTTTTTCCCCAGTTTTTTAAAAGCAGAGTGACTAGACTTAGTCTTCTAGCAATACACAAAAGAACACAATAATAATAATAATATTAATAATAAAACATCTTACAAAATGTAGACCAGATGTTTTACACCCAGCCACACCCCTTCCTCATTGACACAAGTTTAGATTGTTCAGAAGGCAGATGTCTGCTCGGCCACGCCTGTCAGGGCCAAACTAGGCTTTGTGGAATACAGTGTCCCAAGCAGATAGATATGGAAACATCTAGACCAGCCACTCTATGAAATCTAAAATCAGGATCTAATGGGGAAAAAATCGTGATTTGGTGAAAAAAATTAGGACCAACCACAAATCACCAAGGTGACTGCCAAGCTTACTTTAAAATTTTCCTGGGGAGTCCATAAATAAATCCATCCTGTATATATAGGCCCTCTGTGTGTGTGTGTGTGTGTGTGTGTGTGTGTTGTGTGTGTGTGTTGTGTGTGTGTGTGTGTGTGTGTGTGTGTGTGTGTGATCATTATTGTTTTTAAAATCTTGAAGCATCATGTCAAGCACCCTTAGTCCCCGAATTTGAATATTTTAACTTTTTAGCATTTTAAAGTAAATTAGTTACCAGCCCTGAAGTGAACTTTCGCAGAGGCGAACAACTTGTGTTTCGCGCGCTCATATGACCTTAGCAGTTGCGAGCGCCGTAAAACCTTATACTACTACTACTACTACTACTACTACTACTACTACTACTACTACTACTACTACCCTTAGTCCAAGTGTCTAACCCCTCGTGGGAATAAGTCCTGAAGTGAAATACGCTTCAACCAGTGTGTATGAGCTTAAGTTGACCCCTGTCAAAAGATGGTCCCCGACATATGCGGAACTCACACGCCCAAGTCATGCGTGATGCGAAATCGCAACGGAAACAGTTTTACAGACGTGTTTTGATGATGGGCCCAAACCAACCAGAACCCGAACAAGGCTTGTTTTGAAAATAACAGCAGAACTACGAATAATATTGATCTGTGGAATTGCAATTTAAACAGTTATCAGGTCATCACTGGAGAATTCTGAGTGGAAACAAAAGTGAAAGTAGATCTTGAGAAAGTCCCAAGTCGAAATACCAAATCGATACATGTACTTCCATTATAAGTAGTTCAAATAACATGCGCGAGCAAAGATCAAACACAACTTGGAGCCAGTCTACTACTAAATCCAACATCGATATTTCACAAAATAATGCTCCAGGTTCCAACTGACAAAGTTCGACATGTGCTTTCCGCAGCACAGAAGAAGGCAGAGTAATTTTTTAGAAAAATCCAGCGCAACAGACAGAGCCAAAAAAGTCGGGATACACGCGATCGAAATCGGGATGCTTGAGATTTGGAGCAGCGAAAAATCGGGACATCCCTATTTACATCAGGATGATTTACATCGGGATGAGTGGCAGGTCAGAGACATCCCATAAAAATTCTCCCCACAGAGGAATCAACCTCAGATCTTTTTCTTGCAACAAAGAAGCCCATAACAAGGTCAACACCACTGGACAAACAGCAGTTTACAATCAAATGGAAACACAAAACCCACTGAGAGACAGTTAAATTATTTCTGAGTGGAGTTTCGTAAAAATAGAACATTGACACAATGAGAGTTAAAAAGTGCTCAGTAAAAATAAATGACACAGAAGCTGAAAAAAGAGAGGGTAGCCTGTACAATAGAAGAAAGCACTATTCTCGTTGACACTGGGGATAGGCCCAGAAACTATTCCCAGTGACACTGGGAATAGGACCAAAAACTATTCCCAGTGGCAGGCCCAGAAACCATAGAGGGCCTAGGGCAGAATTGTTCCCAGTGTCACTGGGAATAGGCCAGAAACTATTCCCAGTGACACTGAGAACAGACAGACCCATTTATAAGATCTATTGTTTCCACACTGATCTACATGGGTATGATGGTGATGGGTTACTAAATACTAGACTATATCTAATGTAGATCCAAATCTAGATCTAGATTCTACCTGGATACTAGATCTAACTAAACTAAAGTACTTAAATTCTAGTGTGAGTGGAATTTTTTTTTTAAGAAAAAGGAATTATCATTCTATGCTTGCTGTTGCTTGCTATTCCGTCGTAATTTATACGTACAAGTGTAGATCTAAATCTGTGGGCTCTCGTGGCCTAGAGGTTAAGGTTTGGCCTCTCATTCAAAGGTCCCGGGTTCGAATCCGGGTAGTGACTGAAAAATTTTCTTCACTAAATTTGTCTCCTTTCACCTCCTTTCTTGCTCTCTCTAGCAATGTTCTGTCGTCTGCTTTCGTCTCCTCTTTCTGCCCCCCACTCCCTCATCCCCTTTGCCCCCCTCCTCTGGGCTCCTGATTCTTTCTGAAGCCTTTCTACTGCTACTCCTTGGCTTTCTTCTTACTGCTGTCTTTCAGCCACACCCCTGATCTTCTGGTAAGAAAGATCTACACCTAGCCTTCTCGGACAAGGACGAAAAATCTCGGAGGGCCCGTGTGCAAGGTGCGCACGTTATAGATCCCTTGGTGGTCTAAAATCGATAAGAGTAGGCTTCAGCCGCCACCCGAGCAAAATTCAAAATTTCCTACCAACTGAAAAAAGTTTAATGTGTCCCGCGCGCTCATATGACCTTTATGCAGTTGCAAGCTTACAAAAACAAACAGAACAAGATCTAAATCTAGATTTACATCGGATTTTGGAGACCACGGTACAGGACAGAGGTAGAAATCTTTCCCGATTTCTTTTCTTCTAGATCTAGATTAGTTCTAGATCTATTCTTAGGTCAAGGCTAAGCCTTCAGCATAGATGTACACTAGGCACTAAAAGGGGGTAACTGTATGGCCCAAAGTAAAAGAAGAGAACTATCCCCACGTGTCACTGGGAATAGTCACTTCGATAGAAGAATTACCTCAGCCTCAGTGTAAAGAGAAGCTATTAAAGTAATCATTACTGGAAATAGACTTTTGCCTGAAACTGGAGATTGACGATTCATACTTGTCGAGTTATGTGTGTGTTACACATAAAATTTAGTAGGCCTACTCCTCAGATGTTTTTTTAACATTGAAAAAATTATGTTCTCTTCAGTTAATAATCTGTCTTCACTGCAGCCCTGTACTTGCAGTGGCTGTGGCTGTGGCAGGGCTATGGCTAATGGTATGGTTGTTAAGTCTCATGGTTTGTGTGCAGAAAACGAAAAGCGGATTGGGGGACTTGGGAAGGTGGGGGGAGGGGAAGGGGTTATAAAGAACAGGTATTCCTTGATTTTAAAAAATAACTTTCACTTGTTACATCAAAAGTGAAATTCTCAGTTCACAATGGCAAAATTAGATTCCAATCAATCTGTTCAAAAAGGCTTTATAATACTAAGCATGTCGGTGTGGGTAAACTCCAGTTCCAGTTCCAACCCTCTAGATCTAGATCTAGATCTACCTAGATTTAAATCTAGAATCTAGATCTAGATCTAGTCTGGACTGACTTGTGACTTCTTATAACTTCTGGGACAGAGACAAGGCCTCTACATTCTAGCACTACTAGAAAATCTAGATCTAGAATCTAGATTTAAATCTCTAGTACTTTACTACTAGATCTAGATCTAGATCTAGATCTAGCAGTGACAACTGGGGCTGATGAAGTGAGGGGACAGCTGACTGGGACCAATCCTCTCTCTGCCTTGAGCCTAGATCTAGAGCCTAAAGTTCAGTCCCCGGAGTGGCTACAGCTCGATCTCTAGATCTCAATCTCTAAGTCTAGATTCTAATCTAGATCTAACAATCTAGATCTAGAATCTAGATTAGGTGCTCTTTGGGCACTTTGGCTTGGAAATTGCCTTCCCATTGACATTCCTCCATTGATGATTGATTGTGATTAGCAGCCACTCCGGCATTGCAAATTAGATTAGATCTATATCTAGATCTAAATAGATCTAGATTTAGATCTAAGCCTGAAGATAGTTGGGGTTTTTTTTAAATTATTATTTTTGTCAAGGGGCAAGCCCCCCTGAAACCCCCCACTAACACAGGGGGCGGAGGGGGGGGGGGGCAAACCCCCCAGGAAAATCTAGAGTCTAGAGATTCTACTTCAACTTACGCCCACAAAAGCAACGTAAACAAAACACATTCATTCTTTTTACCATGAACTGAAGCTGGGGCATCTGCCCCTGAGCCAGTATCATTCTCCATAATAACTAATTTTACGGTTGCTTCGTATCCTGCATTTCAACTTATTGAAAAACTGATGTTTTCTTCTCGAAGTCACAGAATAACGTCACAATTATCGCCATCTATTTCCGGGAACTCTCTAAGGGAGATTGCTCTGGGGAAAAAATTGAGAAATCGACTACTCCCTTATCTATTTTCTTGTGATCTTGATTATGTTATATTTTTTCTTATTAATTAATAACGTGCAGGCAAAAGATGCATGAAAGGCAAATTTTAACTCTTCCAGAAAAAAATTAAATAGCAATGAGACAGTAAGAAAAACAGCAAAAAGCAGAAGAAGGCTAATTTGAAAACGCTAACAAAGAAAGAAAACCTGTCGAAATGAGAATCCTGCCGACTGTAAAATTCATTTTATTACAGCCTTTTAAAAAGGTATTATTTGAACAGAAAGTATTATACTTATAAAAGAGGGTTATTCTAGTAAATTTTAATTTGCCAAAAAAAATCACATATCCAGCTGTAATTTTAAAGGGGAGACACAAATTAGATATATGTCATTACACAATATAGACCTACACATGCCTTCAATTTCGCTTGCAAAGCTGTTCGACCTTCCTTCTGTGATAAAGTAATATCTCAGGAAAAGATAAAGTTTTGATGACGCATTTAAATACGGTTAAAAAATAGGCCTTCAGCTATATGCACTCATTGAAACACATAATAGTGCAATATACAAACACAGGGGTTATCATGATAGGCTTATTGGGCGTTGATTTTATGAACCTTTAGATAAAGTGAGGATTGATTTTAAAATACCCCCCCCCCC